TATGTTGTGTTCCACGTGACTGTGTTATCTTGTTCTTTTCTGATGCTGTTTTTGTTGATTGTTTTGGTTGTTTGCTTGTTATTGGTGGTGCAATTCTGTTGTTTTCCTCTCCTTTTCTCTATTCTTCCTCTATTTTTCCTCTTTTTATCTCTTCTTCCCTCTTTTTTTGTGTTTTTTCTTATCAATTTTTTTTTTTTTTTTTTTGGTTTTTTTTTTTTTTTTTTTTTTTTTTTATTTTTTTTTTTTTTTTTTGCGATGTCACACGCGCGGTCAACCGGGCCCGGCGTCCCTCATTAAGAGGGGGGGAGGAAATTGGGGAAGGAGGGCAGGGGCAGAGGAAGCACTAACCCGGGGGTGGGGGGCAAGGGGAGGGAAAGGAGGTTGCGGTATACTATCGCGGTTGTCGTTCACGAAGATCGCTCCCGCTCCCGATGATGAGTCCTCGCCGTCATGCAGTCATTTCCAGGGGATGCCCTCATAGCGTCATCTGTCTTCTTCGTCGTCTACTACCATTCCTGTCTCTTATACACATCTAGATGTGTATAAGAGACAGGCGGTATACTATCGCGGTTGTCRTTCACGAAGATCGCTCCCGCTCCCGATGATGAGTCCTCGCCGTCATGCGGTCGTTTTCAGGGGATGCCCTCGTAGCGTCACCTGTCGTCTTCGCCGTCTACTACCGTTCCTCGTGCGCCCTCCTCGCTGCCTCCCGTCTTCACACCTAATTTAAATCGGTCGTATCCACGCGTCTCTTTCTCCCCCCGCTTCGTGTGACTTGTATTGCGATCCTCTTTTGTGACGATCCAACCCTCCCTTCGTTTGATAGACAGTTTTTTTTTTGTTTTTTTTTGTACACGCTGTCCTCCGTTCCCACGTCAAATTCGGGTCGCCCTTCTAGTACAGTCTTCCTTATGTCTGCATCGCTCTGTTTCCACGTCAGTTCCAGGTCACTTCGATGTCTGCGGTGTATCTTCCTCTGTGCCGTCTTCCCAGCTCCGATTGACTCGCTTGCGATCGTTCCACGTAGATGCACACTCCGATCCTACCACAGGCGAACTCCACTGTGTCCCCGGATATGCCAGCATGAAATCGCCACGTGTCGGAACCGCGGCCGCTGCAGGGCTCAACGTGGAACCCCCTCCAACGGGGGGCCGGGCCGCGGCGCGCGTCAACCGGTGACGCGGCGCGGGCCAGTACCAGGGTGCGATCGCGCGTGCACTAAGCGCATTACATTGCCCAAGTTTGTCGAAGTCGCACCCCAATTAAAATTTAAACTTAGGGGACTCCAGGATGTGGAAGCGCATAGGATCTCCTTGATCCAGGCAATTCCACATCAGTGGGTTGATACCTGAGATCCAAAAAAGTCTCATTTGAAGCCAAATTCCTGGTGGACTATTCATCAACAGAGAGATACCGTCTACCGAATTGATTCACATCAGAGTGATCAGCAGGTGACGGTCTCGTCCTGGCGCCGTGGGAGGAATTCATTGATCAAAATAGGACAGGATATATCACTCGCCCCAAGACAAGGACTGGCTGGAGATACAGGTCACAGTGTTTTTCCATAAGGGTAAGTAATGTTTATCTCCCATCATGAACGGTCTCCCGTGCAGGGAATGGAAAGTTGATGTTCATCGCACAGGCTGGGTAGTCTGTGATCACTCAGCCCGCTCATCTCAATTTCAAATCACAGAGTACAGCTCTAACTTGGGCTACAATCTCTAGTCCAGAGCATCCACGCTACAGATCAACATCTGGAACACTTGGAGGACAAAATAGACTGTATCATGGAGTCGCTCATTCTCCACTACTGGGGTTACTTATTTTATCAGTATGCTACTTGACATACTTGAGGTTAAGCTCAGCGGCCTCCAGTGGCTCCACCTGCACTCCAGCGTGCCTACTGCAAAATGGTGTGCAAGAAAAGGGATGGAAGTTATTCCGAACTGTGACGTCTGTCCTGATGAATCTCAGGAGGACTCAAATCACTTACGGTGGGAATGCGTTGTGGCCAGAGGCTTCTGGGACGGGCTTAGCGGCCTGTGGTTTCATGGCATATGGCCCCAAAGTGATATGGACAAAAGAGTTCATTATGCTTGGAAGCAAACCCTTTTTTTTTTTTTTTTTTTTTTTTTTTTTTTTTTTTTTTAACCAAACAATCCGAGTGAATGCTAGTGGTGCTGATAAGAGCAGACACCACTAGCATGCTCGGGGAGGCTCCATCTATTGGTGGGGAGCAACACCTGCTGGAAAGCGGGTCCAACGTCCCTTGACATGGTTATATGTTTTTTACAGACGAATTTGCTTAGGTTTCCTGCCAGCATTGATTGCCCTGGAAGACAGGAGATTGGCTGAGCAGGATGTCATGGCTAGGGAGGGACCTCTTCACCTGAGGATGGCGCCAAAAAATACCATTCCTTGCTGGTCCCTTCTTTCCCCTTTGTACTTCTCTGTAGACTACTGGCCCAGGGCCTGACCTCCCATACCATTCTAAGTCTGCTAAGGTTGGGGACTGGGGATTGGCTGAGCAGGATGTCGTGGCAAGGGAGTGCTACCTGTCCTGACAGACTGTTTGACTACTAGCCAAGGGCCTGACCTCTTTCCCGCCTATCGTCCATTCCTTTCCCGGGCCGTTTGGCTGTCCTGACAGACTGATTAGCTGCTACCCGGGAGCCTGTTTAGCTGCTACCCCCGGGGACTGACCTCTTTCCCTCCTATCAACCCTTCCTCCCATACCATTCTAAGTCTACCAGACTGTTTGAAGGGGGGGGGAAAGCTCGGGGAATTCCTGGGCGGGTTGCATTGGGATAGCTGTGTCTATTTTTGTCCAATCCTTGAAGAGCAGCCGATAGTCCCTTTTTTTCTGTTCCAATGTCTGCCTGTCAGCGGTGATTACAGTGAAGCCCGAAAATTGACTGAGCAAGACACATTTTTAACCTTGAGGACTCTTCACCCTGCTGCTGGGCGCCTGACTAGATTGGCTACCTGTCCTCAGTTCTCCCTTCTATTGCAGCAAGGGCTAGTACCTGACCCTCTCCCTTCCCATCTTTGTACCACCAGTCAAGCGTCCATTCCGTACCACTGCATTCCTACTAAGCAGTTTGAAGGGGGGGGGGGAAAGTCATGGAAATTTTCCGGGGGTTTCAGTGGAATAGTTGTGTCAATGTCAGTCCAGTTGTGGAAAATCAGTTGGTAGTCCCTTTGTATATCCATCCTCTCTTGGCCCTCCACTTCTTCCCGTTTGGCCCCCTTCCATTCCACTTTCCCTATCTTCCCACCGGTGATCCCCCCCAGCCAGCTTGAAGAGAACGCTTGGATTCTTTGCTCAATGTCTTTAATTGTGTTTAGAGGGCAAATTTGTGCTCTGACATGTTCCCATTTTGCCGTTATTTCCAGTTGGATTTGTTGTTGCACATTCTCTGTAATTTCAAGTCCTTCTAATCTTGCTCCTTCCATCTCGTATGTGCAGCGTCTTCGCCACAATGCCCACAGGACCGCCCTGCGTCCCAACTTAAACAAATTGGTGGTAAATTCGTCTGGGGGGTCGGCCTACTGCCCGGTCTCGGCTTCACAGAGCAGGGCCCTCCAGTCCCAGGGCCACGTCATTTTTGTCTGAAGTTGGTCCCAGATTCTGTCCCACCATCTCCACAGCCAGAGGGCGCCCGGGCATTGTAGGAATATGTGCTCAATTGTCTCTGGCCGTTTTCTGGAGGGGAATGCATTTGTGCACAATTTGCACCAGGGTAGGGATTACCCTTTCTGTTCTAGAGATGTTCTGTCTATGAGCCAGTTGTTGGTTGGCAGGCAGCGGTGTTTAATCTGCCATTGGAGCGAGGCGAACTTGGTGGGTTTCATTTTGGGCGAGCTAAACCATCTGATGGGCCTTAGCTCCTCTTTGCTAATGTTCAACTGGTTTCTCCATCGCTCCTCGACTTGATGCCGGAGGGTGATCTTTGGCCTGAGAAGTCTGTAGGTAGATTTAACTGTCATACTATATAGGGTCCTGGTGTGGCTCCTGCCGTTTCCTATACGTGCTGTCCATTTCCATTCTACCGGGTCCAGAGGCAAATGGTGGATTGGTGTGGAGGGGAGGAAGGCTAAACCTGATGACCATACAACAGTAGTATCGAATAAATTTAGGTTTTAGGGTTAAAGGTTTTGTGGTTGGCAAGAAGGAAAGAAGATTCAAAGGTAAGCATTGGTCTATCTATACAGTCAGGATTCAGGAATACTTCTTTTTTTTTTTTTTTTTTTTTTTTTTAATTTGGACCTAGGAAGATTTCATGACCGGCCGGTCTGGAATGGCCGGTCACGCCCGGGTGACCCGGTCATGGCAAAAACAAAAAATAAAAAAATGGCAGTGGGTTTTTTCCGCGCTCTCCGAGAGGAGCCTAAATCCGGGGTCTTTTCGTTTTTTGAGTGTTGGCTGTCAAAGGGGGGGAAAGGGGAGTGTAAATGAAATTTAAACGTGGCTAAAGGGGTTTAAAGAGGGGTGCCTTAGTGTGATATGGTTATTTTCTTTTTTATCTTTAGTTCTGTGACAATTATTTTTTTTTCTTTTTTTTTTTTGCTACAATTGTCGTCCTTTCTTTTTGAATAAGTCGGGAAACGGGCCCGGCGTCCCTTACAAAAGATAACTGCAGGCCAAATCCTGGTCCCGGCAACTTCGGCCGGACACAGAACCGGACTGCAAAAGTAAATGTAAATGACTCAGAAACCTTCAATTATGAATGAAGAACAATCATCTATGTACCCAACTTTTAAACTTAACTACCTGAACCTGTCACACTATCCGACAAACAGAGGGAGACCAACAAAGTTGAACTAATCTACCGGTAAAAACAATACTATGACTACAAAGACAATTGAGCTACTAAAAGAGTACTCTTCACAGAAAAAAGGACGAAAACACCAATGCCGGTTGTGTCTGCTGTTGTTGCACTGTTACAGTGACCAAACCAGAAAATTGTCTCCAGTGGGAAAGAAACAAGTTCATAGGTTTAGTTCGATACCCTTTATTCACCACTTTATGTGTCCAATTTGTAGCAATGGCCTGCTTGATGCCGTATTTAACCTCTGCTCTTATCATCGGGGGGGTAAGCCTTTCCCCCCTCCTGACTGCCGAATTCCTGAGGGTCCACAAAGTCCAAAGCACTGCACCTCTCAATGTCTCCTCTGCATACCCCAGAGGTCCTATAGGAGTTTGTYGCCGAGATGCATTGCCCAACAAAATGAAGTCATCTGGCCATCTTGAGGAGGAWTGTGGCACAGGAACCGAGTCGCTTCGCCACCATTCCCAGAGAAGCATAGACAACTGGCAGTGAAGAAACATGTGTTGCAGGTCCTCAATTCTCATGCCTTCGCACAGAACACACAAGGGTGATGCCCTGGGCGTCCTTCTAGCACACCATTTCGTTGTCGGGACTGCCAGGTGCATGATCTGCCATAAGAGACTCGCGTGTTTAACCACAGACAGGTCCATCAACAATTTCCAGAATCGTGGCAGCGCTGACGCCAACCTCACTGCCGTATCCAGCACCCATCCGGAAGCTACCCACCTTTTGGCCACCTGCCAACCTATGTCCACAGGTGGGCGAGTGAGCTGATACCCCAATCTTGTAGAATATTGGTACAATTTAAACTGCTTCCCTGGGGAGAGGGGATGTTTCCATTCCTAGTCCCTCGGGTCCACTGGTAAGGCGTATGATGACTGTGAAATGGCAAAGGGTCTAACCGCGTCCTCGTATTCTAACACACAAACAGGTAGAAGTTGAGGCAGTGGGGGAAGGGGGGTCTGTTGCATAGTCTGTGTCATCGCCTGTCCCTGGGCCAAATATGTTCCATTGGCCTCCCATGACGAAGACACCGGCACTCCGGCATCCGTTATATCCTCAATTTTCCACAAGCAAACCGATTGTTGGTTTTGTAGGTGATCGTATATTTCTATGTACCATGCATCCTTTTTGAACACAACGCCAGCTTGCAGAACTTGGACCCATTGTAAGGGCACAGCTTCACACAAGGCGGCCAGGTGGACAACTTGCTGTCTAAGGCCTGTAAGTTTATGAGACATCTGATCCGAGGTTTTCCAGAGTCGAGATTGGAGATCCCAGATATCAAACACAGTCCCTACCCGTCTAGACATCCAAGAATCACCAAATGCTCCCAATCCAAAACAAGCAAATGGTTGGCCATTTTCTGCCAAAATCATGTGGTTCTCGAAAAGCGGTTGGGTGAGAATGCGTTCCATGATCAGCGGGGGCGGGCGCAGCGACGGGACACAGTCCCGCCATGCCCTCAGTATGTCGTTCCACACTCCATCAGGCAATTTCTTCCGTAGGTACGATGCGAAAAAAAACGCTAACCACACACAGCGATCAGTCCTCCATTTCCAAGCTTTGAGCAAAAACAGATCGGCCAACTGCCGCCATGGACAGGATGGTCCGGACAGCAGGGCCCGGGCACCCATCTAACCAGTAGGGCAACTATTTGGCGTTCCGGGTCTAGAACCGACAGTCCCCCCAGTCTTTTAGGTTGGGTGACTGTCGCCCAAGCAACTTTGACCAAAAAAAAACCATCGTTATCTTCCTCCTTCTAGAGGTAATGGGCTAATCTGCGCCGCATAGTCTGCAGTGCCGGGTGATCCAATTGGAACAGGGCTCTATTGTACCAGATAGTAGAAAGGATCGAATTGTTTATGACCATCGCCCTACCCATTAAGCTGACTCCCTTTTGTTTAACCCAGGGTGCCAGAGCTTTGTGGACCGAGGCGAGGACTTGCATAGAATCTGTAACCACATCTGGGTTGAAGGATACAGTGTGTCCCAGCAATCTGTCATGCTGATTCGGCATTGCCAGTCTCATACCCCAGTGTTGCGGTGGTTGTATGTCCGGAGGGATAAGTGCGGACAGTTTCGTCCAGTTCACAGCTGCCTGAGAAATCTCACAGAACTGTTTCACTGAGTGTTGCAGTGCTTGAAAGGCCTCGTCTGTAGGAGGTATAACTGCTACTGTGTCATCCGCGAAAGCTTCCGACTTGAATCTGAGTCCTGACGGTAACTCTATCCCCGATATGTCCTCATTCTGTCTAATAAGGGAGTGCAGGACTTCTACATACAATATATACAGGTACGGTGCCAAGGGGCAACCTTGCCTGACCGAACGGTGGAGCGGAATCGGTGGAGATAGCGAACCATTAACGAAAATAGACGACACACTGTTGTTGCACAGTGAGGCAACCCCTCTTTTAAATCTGGGCCCAAAACCAAACTGTGTGAGTGTGGCCTGAAGGAATTCCCAACCGACTCTATCATACGCTTTCTCCAAATCCAACAGTATAATCGCATATTTTCCTTCCCCTGACAACACTAGTTCTACAATTTCTTCGACCGTCATAACATTGTGAAGTATCTGTCTACCAGTCATAAACCCCGTTTGGGAAGAGTGGATAAGATATGGTAGGACTTTTTGTAACCTAAAGGCTAGAATTTTAGCAAAGAGTTTATAGACAGATGGCATTAAAGTAATGGGTCTATAGTTTCGCACGTCCGCCGGATCACCTTTTTTAAACAACAGTGAAATGACGCCCGTCAACATATCCAAGGGCGGTGGTGCCCCATTCCATATAGCCTGAAACGATGTCAACAGCAAAGGGCCCAGAGAGTCCGCATATTTCCGAAAGAAATATCCCGGTATTCCATCTACCCCCGGGACTTTATGTCGAGGCATCGCGCGACACACCCTTACGACTCCAAACAGGGTCATGTCCGCTTCCAAAGAATGAACTTGATGGGGGGTAAGAGATCTCTCAAGTTTGGCCCACACACTGTCGTGAAAGTCCGTGAGTAGTTGTAACTCAGTGTGTTGGGCCTGCGACGCCAAAAGTGCTTCATAAAACAGAGAAATGTTGGTCAAAATTCCAGTCGTGTTTTCTGCCAGTGGTGCCAGCGGGTCGGTTGGATGTGCCATAGCTCTGATAAGTGACACAAAAGATCTCTGTCGATGACCACGGAAAAAAGTCGCAGTCATCCTATCTCCTTTAGTAAGCCACATGACTTTATTTTTATTGGATGCAACTCTCAACGACAGTAATACCTGTATTGTCCATCGTTGCCGTATCGAGTCAATTCTGTTCATCAATGTTAGGTCGTCCATTTGAGCAGATGTCATCAACTGTGCCAGCTCGTTGTTAAGATTGTCCAACGCAGAAGCCCTACTTGTAATGAGTGTTTTCTTAAACAGCAAACCTCTACTCTTGACGACCCTCAAACCTGCAAACAGCCAGGAGGCCGAAGACAAGAACAGAGATCTAGACGAGGACCAATCCGACCAGAAGTCTTGCATGCATTGCATCATTAGGGTCGAGTCTATCACCCATTCCGGGAGATTGGCTCTACCTTTCCCTGCCCTGATCTGAGGGTGTTGATAACATTCCAGCAACAGAGGTAAATGATCTGATCCCCCAAAAGGGAGAACAGAGCATTTAGATGACAAGGCTTGAACAGGCTCAGACAGGAAAAACATATCTAATCTGCTCCTAGGCAAATATTGTTGTTGACCACTAGCCGAGGCAAAAAAGGTATAAGCTTGCAAACAGGGGTTCAGCGTGCGGAATACGTCCGTCAATCCTTGTTCTGAAAGAAATGTGGAAAGTAGAATAGCATCTGACGACAACGGGGTCACACGGGGGGAGTCCAATCCAGGCATCAGGGTCGTGTTCCAATCACCCCCCATTACCAGTCTATCTACTTCCGGTAGCAGCGCCGGTAAAGATTTAAAAAATTCCATCCTAGGCTGCTATCGGGATGGCACATATGCATTAAACACTGCCCAGTCGTCCAGTCCCATTCTATAACGAACCCAAACCCATTTCCCTGCAAAGTCCATATAGAAATCGGTAATGGGAAAAGGGAAGTTTCGAGAGAACAATATCTCGACACCACCTCTGGTCCCCACCGCAGGGGCCCAAAATTGTTGGCCTGGCCACCATCCCAACTGTTCGGACAGCGCAGTCTCATTCAGTTTCGTCTCTTGTAACAACAAAATCTGGATCCCCTTATTTCGAAACAATGATTTGATCAACGATCTTTTGACTGCTACTCTACGCGACCCCAACCCCCTCACATTCCAGGATGCAAAGCGGATTTTGTCCATTTAAGCGTTGTCAGAGTCCCAGTCCATGCATTTCAGGGTCAGAAAATTGTTCGAAAACATACTTTTGTGCCAGGGAATACCTGCTTCCACCAATGCAATCAGACTAGCATTCCAACCGTGATAGATCCGGGTCTGGACAGCAGTCTGACCCTGCAGATTGTGCAAGAGTCGCCAAGAAAGCCATCTAACCCCGGGGAGAGGCGGGGGCGAAGTTGTTGCTGGATTGATAATCGCATCTATGATAGGAAAAATCAGGATGTCAGTCCGTCCCTGATCGATAGTCGGTGTGAGCCTAATCCATTCCATCTCTGGGAAAGGTCTAATTTTGTATGCTGGAGAGAGCCACTTACCCACTTCTCTGATAACGACCTCCAGTGACGGGTGTTCATACAATTCAAAGTGAGGAATCATGAGAGGTCCTTCTGCGGGCACCGCTGTGAGGAGTTGTAATTGGCCATCAACCGCAGTGAACACCAAAGGCACCACCACCCAAGGCTGGCCTGCAGCAAGGGCTTCCTGAAGGGAGCCCGGGAAAACCTGAGCTCTAGCTGGTTGAGCCATCCTTGCTCTCTCCATCTCTTCATTCCTGACGTCCTGAGACTCTTGGCTCCCTCCCTCCACTGTCGTCGGCCCCAAGGCTGCGTCGACCATATCTGCCCAAGAAACGACTGCAGATTTACCCGAGGCCAACTTTGCTCTACGATCCTCAACGGGACGATCGTATGGTCCTGGCAGTCGTGGTCCACCCGTAAGCCCTTTCCTCTTATGCACCGGCTGAGACAATTTTTTTGGCGTCATCGACTCTTCTCTCCCAGATAGCTGTTCAGTTGGCGGAGGGGCCTCTGTGTAGCCTCCGTCGTCATTACCCAGCAGCTGGGTTGAGGCTGCATTTGGCTGTAGGAACAAAGCTGCTACAGGTTGTGGAAGCGGAGCAGCAGGTTGTGGAAACGGAGTAAAAGGTTGAGGTTGTGGATGCTGAGTAGCAGTTGGTTGTGGAAGCGGGGACAAACCTGCTGGCTGCGGCGCAGGAACCGGTGGCTGTGGTAACGGCTGTTCAACAACACCCAGTGCAGGAGCAGCAGGGGCCGGACCACCCGCGGGAGCTGGGCCGGTCGGTGCCGGCTCGGCAGGGGCAGGACCACCCCCGGGGGCAGGGCCGGCTGGCACCGGCTGTGGATCGACTGGAAGTGGCTGAGGGGCAGCAAGGCCGGCAGGTACCGGCTGTGGATCAACTGGACATGGTTGAGGGGCAGCAGGGCCAGCTGGTACTGGCTGCGGATGAACTGGACGTGGCTGAGGGGTGTCAGATCTACCCCCTGGGGGGGGTCGCCCTGCCACCGCCGCGTAGGACAGTCCTTCTTGACGTCCTCGTTTGGTACACTCATTTGCTCCCGACTCATGTCCATACCATCTGCAATCTTGACACCATGGTGTCTCCTGGGTGACCACGTCCACCCTGTGCCAGCCATGAGGAGATCTGAACTTCAAGACCTTCGCCACTCTCACCTTGGCTTGCGGGTGCAAATCATACCGCCTGTTGACCAGTCTTGGTGTGGCCTTGTTCCGTTCCGGAGGAAAATCTTTCAGCACTTGACCAAACTCCTTAATCACTGCCGCTTTCAGGAAAGGCATCGCCAAGAAAGGAACTCGCAATACCCTGATCCAGAAGAATTTGTCCTCCGCCTGCTGCCTTATCGCCGCTTGTTCCAAGGGTGTGGCCCAGGGCCGAAATTGAACCTTACATTGTTTGCCATCCACCAACACGCTATCCAGTTTCTGCAGTGTGTTAATCAACCAGTCTCTGAGCACGTGGTTCGGCGCCAAATATGAAATCACATTTGCTCCCTCCGGTTTGATTCTGCCGTGGAGATCGTGAGCAATGGCCAAATCCCATCCTGCTTCCAACGAACGTATCCATTCCTCTTTTTTAACAAACGGGGTGTCTGCACCCGGACCCTGAAAAACCACCAGAACACCGTGTTGCTTCAGGTATCCCACTGTCATGTCCGCCGCATGCAGCTCCAAGTCGACAACCACCATATCCTCATTTTCATCCCGATGGGTCCTGATATATTGGCTCGCCTGTGCTTCATTTTCCTCACCTGTAAGAAAACAGTGCTGCAGCATTTGGCAGAGGTCATTCGTGCGTCGATTGCCTTCCCCTTGATCGGCCGATGAAGATGATGCCATAACGCCAGCCCAGTAGCACACCACAAGATGAAGTCGTAACCACTACACAGCTATGGACGATAACAAATTTCCAATCTCTACTCGCCGTCTTCGTCAGGGTGTTTAGGGTAAGGTCGTAGAATCCAGAAATATTTTCAGTAGTCAACGACCAACCCCGGAAAAAAATTTCAGCAGTGAACGACCAACCCTGTCTCGTAACACGAGACACCCGACCTAGTATCCAGCCGACGAGCTTTGACTAGACTTCGATACTGAAGCCTATCTCCAATCGACAAAGCAATCTTGTTCCACTAATCTTCACTACAACTTAGCGAATAACAAATTTCCAATCTCTACTCGCCGTCTTCGTCAGGGTGTTTAGGGTAAGGTCATAGAATCCAGAAAAATTTTCAGTAGTCAACGACCAACCCAGGAAAATTTTTTCAGCAGTGAACGACCAACCCTGTCTCGTAACACGAGACACCCGACCGAGTATCTGAAGCCTATCTCCAATTGACGAAGCAATCTTGTTCCACTAATCTTCACTACAACTTAGCGAACTTTGTACTTCACCCACCCAGCAACGTCAGTCGCAAGAAACTTCTTAGTGGATTAAGATGACTTTGGACCGATTGGAAATCGAACGTCAGTAATCGACAGTCTTAATACAGGTCAGCTTGGTGAGTCAACACAGCGAATACAATTTAAACCTACCTACGTCAACTTGGACTTTGTTCTCAACCCTCAAACGATCGCTTCGACCGTCAAAATAACAGATCAGCCGTCCCCGCACCACAGCGCGCCTCGTTTACCTCAAATCGAACTCGAATTGAACACGTATTATTACAAAATCCAGCGAAACGTTTCCACAAATCAGACACAAAATGAACTCGAAAAGTTAAAGGATCTATGCTTTTTCAGTCGGATGACAGCAAATCCACGTCCCAATCCCCACCATTGAATCCAATTTCCACTGTTGCTCACAGAAATCAATTTCCACGTACTCCTGGACAGTACTCATTAGACATCGCCAACAACAATAACAATTCTAACAAACAGTTGTGCTCCATATTAGAACCAGGGGGTCACCCCCTGGATGGTTTCCATTAAGATATAACTGGAACGCCCACACCCCGCCCGTCGACCTTCCCCACTTACCTCTATCCTTCCCAGGTTGACCAGGAATCCCAGGCAACCCCACAGGGGAAGCCTGACCGGGGCGAGCAGGAACCAAGGGGTTTTACCGCCCTCGCGAAAACTGCCCCACTGCGCCCGTGCGCCCTAAGCCGCGCAAGGATTCAGCGTCCGTACCCGTAGCAGAATTTGGCGAGCAAGATTAGCGCACACCGATCTTGCCGATTCCCAACCTTCTGTGACGAATTCTGATGTGACCCTTCGCCAAAAGTTGTTTGTATTGCAATTCTACACAACATAATATTTTTCAGATTTTTTCGGATTTGATTTTTTATTTTTTTATTTTTATTTTTTTGCACTGGGGCTGCCCGGGGGTCATGCCCGGCCGGTCACCCGGTCGCCAATCCGGGCGTGACATCGGGACCCAGGCGCCCGAGATATCTCCATAGATTTGGATCATTTCTCGATTTATGCGTGTCATCTCTCTGTGCGCTATCGGTTTCTGGTAGCTCCTGCCGGGTTTGTTGGACGTGCATGGTGTACCACGGGGTGTTGTGGACTGGGCGGCAGTGCGCTTGATGTGCTATCTTTATCAATCATTCTTCTTACACCTATGTTCGCGTGTAATCATGTCATATGAGTGCAATCATGTCATGATGCTGCCTTGAGATGTTCTGCATAATACCGAAGGACAAGCAGTTCGTAATCTTATTTTTGCAGAGTGGAGAAAAACCAGAAGCCACCTCAGCTAGCCAGACAGCTTTTTTTGGCTCGGTGGAGCCCCTCCGAGTCCTTCAGATAGGTCTAGTTTTCGTCTCAGGGACTCCTCCTGGTCTCCAGACATCTGTGGGACGAGGCGGACGACCTCCATATTGCAACAACAGTGGATATCCTTAATGAGTGGTAGTTCAGCTTCCTAAAGCCCTAATGCTCCTGGAACTGGGTACTTACAGTTTCTTCCTCTTGCTCTTATCACCTAGCAGGTAAGAAAAACAGAGATAGCGCTGGTGAATCTGACAGCCTCAAGGCTGAGAGCTTTTTCTGCATAGGTCTCAGAAAGCTATGAGGCTGGGACCCCACTGCAGTGCGGATGGAAAAGATGTTTGGCCACAAAAAGAAGGCAAGTCATTTTGGAAAGTTGGAAAGTATGTTTTCTCTGACCCCATCGCAGAGTACATTTCGTGGCAAAACTTTTTTTTTTTTTTTTTTTTTCCGTAAGAGGAAAAGGTCCGTGGGTAGTGGTCGAAAAACGAAAGTGCTGGGGTGTCCAGGAGGCCGTGGCTGGACCTGAGGAACCGGCCGTGGCGTGGGTTGTGAGTGACACAGCGCAGACAATGCATGGGTGGACACGCGATGGTCCGGCAATGGGACCTGACCTTGGAAAAGTTCAAGATGGCACCCACGGCCATCCTCTGCTTTCGGCACAATTTCATGGCGGAACTTCCTCTGGTCAGCCTTTTCCAGACCGCAGATGATGTGAAAACGTTGACACACCATCTTCCAGGCCACAAAATGCGGGCTATCGGGTCTCGAAAAACAGTCTTTGGAAGACATTTCGGCTTTTCCAGAATCTTTTCCGCGGGGCGTGGGGTTCCGGAAACACTTCCGCAACAATTTTTTTCCTTTCCGCATTCCTGTGGGGTTCCGGAAACACTTTCCGAAGCGAAACTGGGTAAGGCTCCCAGGGAACTTCAGTCTGAATTATAATATGATTTTCTTGTATACGATGCTGCACCCGGTTCCCAGCAGGTGCAGCTCCCCACCGATGGAAAGGAGTCGTCCATCAGTAAAGCCCACCACCAGGCGGTAGGACTACACAGGATGTTGAATTGAAAAAAAAAAAAAAAAAAAAAAA